AAAATCTGAAAATTTCAAATTCCGAAATTTTCAAACTCTGAAATTTCTATATTCCGAAATTTTCAAATATTTCAATTTTCAAACCTTGAAATTCTCAAACTCTGAAATTACCATATTCCCAAATTTGCCAATATTAAAATTCTCAAATTTTCAAATTCTCAAACTCTGAAATTTCCACATTCCCAAATTTCCAGATATTCAAATTTTCATATTCTCAAATACTTAAATTCTCAAAATTCCCTAATTTACTCCTCAAAATTGAAACGTCTCCCGTTCCACCATAGAAACCTTCACGGTAACCGTCAGCATTCAGCATTGTGTAGTCGAGATTCGTCACGAGCGCGAAGCCTATCATCTCTAGACAATAAACCGCCAAATATAACCGGTGCCGGGACGAATAACTATCGTATAAGATACGGCGTGTCTGCTGCATATGCATCAGCGGTCGGACGCTTTCTCACTTCGCTCCCCCATTCACATGTAAATATTCCATGACGCGCGCGCTTACAATAGCCTGGTCCAACACCATCAAAACGTGTCCAGTCTTTTTCCCCCTCCTCTCTGATATCTAACGAACCACGTTCTCTCCCGTGAAGACGTACGTAAATGTCCGAGTCCCTTCTATTCATCATCGTAGAAAGAAAGAACAAAAATAAAAGCCACGTCACGTGTTTCCGGTGTCGCGTGCAACACACAAGCACAACTGTATAACAGGAACGCGTGGTAAAGGAAGATTTGTGCTCGAACCCGACGAGAAAGAGAGAAAGAGTGAGGTTAGGGTGGTTTTCAAGCGCGCGACGTTGAACTTTTAAGGTCGACCATTTTCTTCGCGGCCGTCTATATTATAAATAGGAAGACATCTTCCGTGAAACTAGGACAAGCTATAACTCGCGAAACGATGTCAGATGCGAGAGAAGAGAAGAGAAAAAAGAAGAAAAAAAAAAAAGTTACGAGGCGAATTAACCGACGTTACGGCCGCCCGTTCGCTTCGAAGTTTCCGCCGACGCGACATTTGATGGTTGGTAAGGCGCGCGCATGCGCACAGGTGCGCCACCGGCGAACGTATGGATCCCGATACCTGTGCTTAATATGCGGTTCGCGTTCAACCAGTATTGTAATGCGGCGTAGGTACAGGTGTTCGACCTGCTTGCTCCATTTCGGAAGGAGAATTGATGCTCTGTTCATGATTGTACCAAGGATTTTCAGAATTTTCGATAATGAAGAATAAATTGAGAACTGATTGGTGTGTTTGTGAAAATGAAGATATTAATCCGTTTATTTTATATAGTCTTTCTATGGTAAGAGTTTGATTTGTTCTGTTCGTTCGATCGAGTAATATCGTAGTTATCATATGAAATCTTTCATTTTACGTTTGATTATAAAGGAGATCGTTTTACTTGTCTGCTGAGCAATTACATTACGTTTGGCCTGTCCAGTTCCATTCTACTTATCGTTAAAGGAACAGTCTTGTTCTACCTGTCTGCACAATCGCGGTCCCATTCCACTTATCTGTATAAGCACTGCTCGGCCTCTCGCCGTCCGTGCAAACACGATCCCATTCTACTTAGCCAGTTAGCCGGGATTTACACCACTTGTCTGACCACGCGTCCACTCGTACTACTTGCGAGAACTGGCTACGATTCCCTCGTGCACACGCGCAACGCCAACTTTATTTCTTCGGTTTGTTTAACAAGCGTGGAGAATTTATTAGCTATACGAGGGTGATTTTTCAATCGTTTAGAAGTCCAAGTGTTCGATCTTTAATGTTTCGCGTACGATTTCAATAAAAATAGGCGCAAAGTGTTTCAATTTTTTGAATGAAAACTTAACAAAGCCAACTTTATTTCTTCAGTTTGTTTAACAAGTTTCTAGGGTTTGTTAGCTCCTCGAGATTAATTTTTTAACGAATAAAAATGTTCCATCTTTAATATCTTGTGTACGATTTCAATAAAAATAGATCCAAAGTGTCGCAAATCAGTGTTTCAATTTTTTCAATAAAAATTTAACAACGCTAACTTTATTTCTTCAGTTTGTTTAACAAGTTTCTAGGGTTGGTTAGCTCCTCCAGATTAATTTTTCAACGATTCACAAACAGAAACGTTCGATCTTCGATATTTTTCGTGCAATTTCCATAAAAATGGACACGAAGTGTTTCAGTCTTTTAAAATAAAAAGCAATTTAAAAAAAAAATAAAAATTAAACTAAGTATCAGCTTGGATAATTCAATTACAGAGGAGAGGAACAGGTTATCGCTGATTAAGCTGCAAAGGACAGAGGACAGAAACCGTAGCGGGGCGATCTTCTAAGCGATCTCCGTTCAACGTTACCATTAATTTTGTAATAGATTTCGCTGGCACAACCAGCTACATATTATTTATCGTTTCCGAACATTATATTATCGGTGTTTTACGAGCTTCCTGGACCGGTACCAGGATGGTTCATAATACGCGTCAACGTATACGGAACAACGCTGGGCAACGAATTTCAATTTTGAAGCGATGCCAGAATATTTACGATACACCTTGCACTCCCGCGCACACGGTATGCTTCTGATGCATTGTTTTATATTCGCCTCTTCTAGAGATCCTTGTCGACCTTCTTTCTTCCGGAAAATACGAAAATTTCAATTCAAATTTCTACACGGTTCAACGTTCGGATCGTCGAATTTGATCAACGAACCGTCGATGTTCGTGCAATTAGAATATACAGGGTGTCCCGTGTAACTTGTACGATACATTGAAGTATCTCGCTTATTTTTCACGATGTGAACAAATTTCAGAGGGAAAGTATTATTAGAAAATTGTTTTCTCAAGATCGTAGAAATTTTTTCACACGAGACTATATATTTTTATCGTCATGGCGTAATACGTGAGGTCCAGATCATTTCAAAGACTTTCGTATGATTTTAAATACGAAAATGAAATTTTGAAAATTTCTTCGAAATTATGTCCATCAATTTCGAGTGTCCAAGATCTACCCCCGTACATCTCCGAATTATTCGGAAATTTCACGGAATCCTATGTAAAAAAATACCAACTGTAGTGTCCCAAAACGCCGTAGTTCTTCGATGCTTGGAAACGCTGACTCGCGGCAGGGCGAGTCTTATTTAGAGGAAAGAAGTCAACACGTTTTCGAACTAAACAATTAATGTATTTCTAGGCGTGTTCTCAATAGAATGTGTGTCGATGGTGAAAACCTCCGTGCTTTATAGCACGGAGCCGTCCACACCCGACGTGGCGGTGGTAAGTGTGACGCGATACGGAAGACGTCGGGCGATCATCGCTTTTGGGCGGCCCATGCGACACAGGACCCAACGCGAGTCCCCTCAAGCGAAGAAACACCCGAGCCCTCCCGCTTCGGTTCCTCGTGGGATCCCTTTGTCGAAGGCCTCATTGCGACATTGTAACACGGTTCCGCTGATGCCATGCGGCTCGGCTAGGTCCTGCCGGTCCTGCGTCGCGGTGCTCAGGACCGAACATCAACGATCTTAAAATCTCTAAAATCCAACTTTGACAAAAATTTCGTTTTCTCTTCACAATATTTCCCTCTGCAAGAGTATGCTCGAGCGAGTGTTGGGACTGGTTTATGACCCGCAGACCGAGAGTTCCCAACGCCTTGACACCCCCACGCGCTAAAGGCTGGGTCAGTAAGGACCCCCAACCTGTGCCAGGGTTTCCCGGAGGCAAGAGAGGGGCGTCAAAGCACGTATATAAGGACGCGTTAAATAAAAACACAGATTGTATTAGAACGAATTAGGAAGCGTGTAGTTGATAAGGACGGACCAGAAAAGAACGAGGCGTCAACGAGGACAAATAAATATAGTTTTCAACATCAGTTTAAAGAATCCTGACAACCAATATTTAGACCAAACAGCCCTTACACCTGAACATTTTCAAAAACGAACGGGACATTTCAACGCACCCTCTATACAAAAAAATACACACTCTTGCATACGTTAATATGTCACAATCGCGAAAAAAGTCTGGTCCATTTACCCCCATATTTACTTCGTTTCCAAAAATAAAAACGATATTCTAATTTTTCCCCGTTCCGCGAGAAACGCCAACATTACAGAATTATTCGGCGAAACGTGTCGATATTATGTGAAAACGAGGCGAGAATGGAACTCTCGTGGAAATTCGGTCTCTCCCCGTAAAGAGAGAGAGAGGGATATTTCCGCGCGTATCTTTAAACGATATCTATGGAAGGCGTGAGCGCGTATTCTTGGAAATATCTCCGGTAAGCGAGAAATGTGTCGCGGGGAATCCGACCGGGTGGCGTGTGTGGAAAAGGGATAGTTTGGTGGAAACCGCGCGAGAAAAAGTTGATACGATATCGGCGCGGGGTGCTTGTGGAATCGATCGAGAATCGTTTACGCAATATCGCCGTGGCACAGTGAAATAAATCGGAACGTTTAAGGGCCGCTATCTGTTCCTCCTACCGTCTACCTCTCCAACGAAAATCCACCGTTCGTTCGACTACTGATCGAGGCAAATTTATACCAGGCCATTTCTCTAAGTACATGCACATCCTTAACTTCCATGATTTTTCGTTTACCTTTC